CGCTTCGCTGGACATTTAAAATTAACATTATTATTTCTCACCCCACAAAGATTCTCATAATTAACGCCCCCGCAACTGGTGTAGGGAGTCCAACAGTCATAAATATGTAGCCTAACCATTAAACACATGTATTTTCTACATGGATACCAAGTTTCAAGTCAATCGGATGCATGTTTCAGTAGTTATAACGGAACATCCGTAAAAACCACTGTAGATTTATATATCAGTATAGAGTATAGATATATTTATATATATATTTCTTCTGAGCGTGTGTTTGTCACTGAACTTCTAAATGGCTCGACCGATTTGATTTTTTTATGCGTTTGGGTGGTAACCTGGATGGTTTAGATTCACAAATCAGCCCGGCAAATGGCGCTGCAGTCGGTATCTAGGTTATTTATCTTTCCTAGAAATAATTTATATGGCAAAACAACATTTGCCGGGCAAGCTAGTTATACAAATAAATTTGGACAAAAGGTATTCTCTATTCTTCCATGGAACAAGTTCCATGTTATACCATTTCTATTTTAATTGCAATACAATTTCGATGTACAGGCACAGATTATACTACTACATTATGTAATAATAACAATTAATGTTAACAAAGCAAAACAAAGTAATGTATAGCAGCTAACAATGTTTTCTGCGACATTAATGAAGGAGGAGTTGCGTTGGGTTTTCCCTATTCGTAAAGGCAATGTAGAATGATAACGTCGTCATGCAAGTGTCGTTTGATCACGTCAGGGCATGAGTCGCTACGACGCAACGCTAACCAACACATTCATTTTCTCGTCATATCTTCTCGGTGGGTCGCGATTTCGATCCAGATCACACGCTAATTCTAGCTAGTGTTAGCAAATTCTCTCAGGTTGAGCCCGGGAGCTCATCAACCCGCGCAAGCGTAGCTGGAATAGCCCCTTAGGCTATCAGCGAATAGATAGGGGGAAAAACAGTAACCATGAGGATAAAGGGGTGACCTGCTGATTGCCTGCGGTGTCATCCGATGTTTGCTTCTCCAAGTCTACCAACGTTCACTTACTAACGGCCCAGATTCCCGGCCGGCGGAGGCTTCCTTTCGTTATTAGCTGAGAACACAAGCGGTGCGCTAGCAATCCACAAATTGTCCCAGATAGCGCAGTCATTAGATGTAGTCGCGGACGAGCCGCGCGGCTGCACGTGCGTCTGGTACTGTAACTAGCGACTAGTGGCGACACCCGGCACGCGACATCAATGCGCAACGATACAGTTTTTTTCACTAATTATTTCCTCGATAATTATCACAAGTTGATATCTCAGTTCCTTGCATCTGGTATTCGGAGCGCCGGCTTCACATTTATCTTTAATGAACGTCGCTCTATATGAACGGTAAACACCCGCTACCCGACTTCTTGTGCGTCTCAGACTCATCTGTCGCTACGCCAGTGTGAGTTCTCCGATGTGCATGTGTGTGCGGGTGTGTGCGTGCGGAAAATATTATGATGAATAAGATGTATGTGAGAGCACGAAGTCGGCGGCGGCGTATATGAAAAGAGTTACTATTATTGCTTAAATTAAACATGCTATCGAAGGATTACAAGATAATCGACGCGCATTACCTATAATAGATGAGGGCACGTGACGCGCGGGTTGATGAGGGCGCGGGGGCTCGGTGGCGGCCGTAACCACCGAACAGCCTCGTGATCAAACATATACGATAATTACTACCATAAACTACTTGTAATGACTCACTGTACGCTCAATGTATGAGCATCAACATTAAGGGATGCACTTAGTTTTGCCACCTTTTTTTTGCAGATAAAGTACATCGGTTATTATAAGTAGGAACAAAAGTACATAGTATTGAAATAAAGTACAATTTTGTTTGTATTATTATTATTATTATGATTAAATACGTAATTTTATTATAATTGAACAAATCAAACAAGTAGTAGTTCTATTTTTCCAACTGGAAAGGCAAAGGTATCATACCATACATATGTATACCATACGTATGTATACCATACGTATGTATATGAGTTGTCTGCAACCGTCATTCAAGAAGAATTCTGAAACATACATGAGTAAGGTACGTTGCGGTGCACGACTAATACCTACTCGCAGTATTCAGATAGATCTATCATAGTAGATGAGACCTCTAAAAACATTGATGAATAATGAGGAAAAATGTATACAAGAATATACCTTACCTTAGAACATAGTTACCTTATTCCATATGTGTACATACATACATGTAATTCATAGAGGTTTTTTTGGAAAAGTAAAATGGTGCGTGTGTGAGTTCCACATATAATTTGAGTTCCACATTTTTATAATTTGGCGAATTACAAAATACAGAAATAACTTAACTTATGTTCAAACACGACTCGTTTGAAGATATATTATATACGCATATAATAATGTGTACATATATGTATATGAAGCGACGCGACGCGATGCGATGCTCGGAGACTGGAGTCGGGCTCGTAATTATACGGAGACGCCCGCGGCGGGCCCGGGGGAGCTACTAATTGAATCCGATGTAATAATGTGAGCAGCACTAAGTGCAGGCAGCGGACGGGGCCCGAATCGTTTCACAGAAGCGCGCGGGTCGTTTTATTGCCAGAACCAATCTCTACCGTTTACACGCTCTCTAGATGAGTTGTGCGCGAGAGCACCAGAGCACCAGAACACCAGAGCAGACAACCTCGGCTCCTTATCGGGACCGAGCATGATTATAGACGACTCTCAGTGCAGTGCGCCCTCTCGACTGTGCACGTGTGGCGGACACGTGCCGACGCCGCGGGTGTCACCTCTGTACAATACTTTCATGTTTAATTAGTTGATTTTCGTACATTGTATACGATTCATATTCTGAGTACTTTCGTGACAATTTTCGTTTAGACTCGAGACCTTCAGTATATAATCTACACTTCGCGACGAGGCAGCTCTTTTTCAATTCAATTCAATTCTCTCAATTTATCATAAAAAAAAAAAAAAAACTGTAACTAACTCAGGTCGTTAGCGAAAATGTGCCATCAGAATTCTAATCTATATACATATTATATAAAAATGAATCCCTATTTCCGTTGGTAGCGCCATCACGCGCGAACGGCTGGACCGATTTCGATTTTTGTGTTTGTTATTGTCAGGAGAAGGTTGCTACAAAACAAAATATTAAGAAAATAGCACGGAAAATTTGAAAATGTAAGAATACTTAATCACCATATTAAATTTCCTAATGGTTTTCTAATGTAACCTTATGGCGCTGACATAACATTGATAGAATGCGTGCTACAAATACCGTCAAAGAGGATGTAAAAATTGGAGTATTGTTTAAAATAAATGCTTCGGTTGAATTTATATTGATAAAATACATAAGATAAAAAACTCAAGAAAATTTCCCAGCAAATCGTTGCTGTTGGACTAATGAACGTTGTGTGCTAATGTCGCTACGCATTTCAGTTTAAACACGAATTTCCTCGATTGTATTGTGCGGGCGTCGAAGTCAAATTGTCGCCATCGAATGATTTCTAATTGCAGTTCCTGAAGAGTTGAAACGGTTTCTCGTGCTATACGAGGCCTTGCGTTATCATGCAGCAATAATGGCGAAGATCGATTCATGAGTCGGGGCTGTTTCACTGCGACTTTTGCTATCGTTGTTCGGAGTTCGGCACAGTAGACATCTGCTATTATTGCTTGACCAGATCGGAAAAAGCTATAATGAATAACACCATGCTGATACCACCACACAGCTACCACCATTACCTTTTTATTGGTAAACTTTGCTGTAGGACACTGTTGCGGCGTTTGACTTGGAGTTAGCTATTGCATTTTTCGCTTACGGTTATCGTAAGAATCCACTTTTCATCACATGTCACAATTCGATCCAATATTCCTTCATTTCTGTATCGATTCAACAAGGCAACACAATTTTGAACACGCGTTTCTTTCTGCAGATCAGTCAAATAATGAGGCACCCATTTTTTATATTTTTTTATTTTATTGATTAACTCGATTAACTCGTATTCAAAAATCACTCGAATTTTCAAAGTATCCATCTTTCTTGTCTGAGGTGAATAAAAAAAACGACTGAAAGTCGATAATCACACGTTGCACGTTTTTTAAAAGAAGAACCTCACAGATACCATTCGAAAAAAGTTTCACTCAAAAATCTCAAGCCATGAAGGTTCTTAGTCAATTTGAAGTACATATTACAATAAAACGGCAATTTCATACTTTAGCCCGCTAACTTCGCTATATTACATAATTCGTTCAGGTTCTGATTTGTGCAGCAGCAGTTGCTGCAGTTGCAGTTGAGCAGTGCTCCGCAGCAGCAGTTCTTCGCAGAATCTACCACCGGATCGAGGCCTACTGCGAAGATCCGGAAGATCCGAAAAATCGCCGAGTTCAACGAGGACTAGTAAGAGAACATTCAAAGGAACGGACATTAGTGAACAGTGCCTCACCCATGTATACCGCCACAAACTGTGAGCTTCTTTTAGTAATATTGTCTACTCGTATTAATGCAGCTTTACCCCCCCTGGCCCCGGGTACATCTAACTAATCCTATCGACTTGGAGCCGCAACCACTCGATGTCGCGTGACGCTCTCGACACGATCAGGCGCCGCTCGCTCTAGCACGCACCGCCGCCGCCGCTAGATACGTGCGTCTGTAAATACAACTTGCTCTCGCCGGATCTTCTCAACGGGCCGCAATTCCTATCCGGTAATAGATTCATTCGCGAAGCAGCTGCCCTTGAGTTGTTAGGTCTCCTTCGGAGGCGCTCGGGCAGCTGTTAGCAAATCCCACCCCTCCTGGCTGAGCCTTTCTCGCCCACCTGTCCTGGTGAAACTGGAAAGGCCTCCGGGTTACCAGTAATCTCCCAATCGTAAAAAAAAAAATACAACTTGCACTTGTAACAGTGCATAGCTTCTTGCGAGGTTTTACTGCGAGTATACTGTCGCAATCTATTTTTATTTTTAATATGTTTATTTTACTGATCTATTCAATAAAAACGAAATAGTTTAATGAGTTATTTTATTGTCAATTATTGAAACAGTAGTAATGTTAGTATCGTAAGAATTACTTGTAGATACGAGTAGGAAGGTATCTTGTATTATTTAAACTATAGCGGATCGTATCGACGTCGCTGCTCAGGATACAATTTTAATTGGAGCAGACTGTACTCCGACCCAGAAGACCTTCAGTGTCTTGACGATGGTGGCGCGGAACACGACCTCCCCGGTGAGACCCTGGGGCGGAGACCAGCGCACCCTCACCTGCCGCTTGTCTTCCTTGTTGTCGTGCTTCTTGTGAGTCACTGCGTTCTGCCACAAACACGTACCATGACTAAATATACAGTGCCCTGGTGATTAGTGGCTACTGGGGACTATTGACATCACAAGGTGACTGTCGGCACCCACCTCGAGACATGAGGTCCAAACCTTAACGGCCGCCCGCGGTTCCAACGGGAACGCAGTGCTCGGTACCTCACTGTTTGATTTTGATTACACAATGTATTTAGTCATCCCGGAAGTTTTTTTATTTTGCATAGATGGGTGAATGAGCTCACAGCCCGTCTGTTGTTAAGTGCTTACCGGAACCCATAGACATCTACAACATAAATGCCGCCACCAACCTTGAGATATGAGTTCTAAGGTCTCAGTATAGTTACAACGGCTGCCCCACCCTTCAAACCGAAACGCGTTACTGCTTCACGGCAGAAATAGGCAGGGTGGTGGTACCTACCCGCGCGGATTCACAAGAGGTCCCACCACCAGTAATTACGCAAATTATAATTTTGCGGGTTTGATTTTTATTACACGATGTTATTCCTTCACCGTGGAAGTCAATCGTGAGCATTTTGCTGAGTACGTATTTCATTAGAAAAATTGTACCCGCCAGTGGACCTCGAACACCGGTGCATCACTATATACGAATGCACCGGACGTCTTATCCTTTAGGCAACGACGACTTCCACGTAGTTCATGAACACGCATTAGGAAGACCTTTCGTTAGAACGACCTGTCGCATCTGTCACATGTACCGGCACTCCGAGGTCCTCCGAGCCAGGACTTAAAACGTACTTACCCCCGGCTTCCCGCAGTTGATGAGCTGAGAGAAGACGTCTCCGTCCTCGAGCGAGAAAGTCCCGAGGATGTCGTCTCCCTGCCGGGCCTGCAGCAAATATCCGCGCAAGGTGTCCTCTGGCAGCTTACCTGCGATCACCACCTCCACGCTATCGCCGGGAGCTACGCTCTGAAAGGATCGAGTATTTGTATTAGATAGAGACAGCGTGCGCGTGTGTGTGTATCTGGTGGCGTGTGTGCGGCGGCACCTGCGCGTCGGTGGTGATGGTGTAGGGCGGCGGCGAGGTCTGCGCGGTGGCGTTGTGCTGCGGCATCATGTCGCGACAGGCGCTCAGCGGGGCCCCGGTGGAGCGCGCCTCTGACACGCGTGACGTCATCACCAACATCACCACCGCAGCGCACAAGCACGCGTACACCTTCATGATGCTTCCTTCTTCACTGATCTGTAAAACTAAACAACAGACATTGAGACATTGATCACCTCCCTTACTGTTGGGATGCGGTTACGGGAGCTTATACACGTCACTTATGTATCTATACATTACATGTAGTTATTCCTTCATCGCTTAAGTCATTCATGAACACGAGCTAGTTCCAGATTTGCTTAGAAAATCTGGTGTCAGCAATAAGAGAATATAGCGACCGGAGCAACCAGCGAGTCCACGAAACGATGTCAAGCGACGCGTAGAGCAACTGAATTTAGATTTTAAGTATAATTCATGAAATTAAGAGAAAACCGGAAGAGAGTCTGCCCCCTTCAAGCTGCGATCAATTGTCAGAAGTATTTATTATTCAAATCAATAAAATATAATAAAGTTTTGAATACACGGAGCCAAGGGCGCACAGCGTCGTGTCCCCGGGAGGCTGTAGAGCTCACCTGCACGTAGACTAGACCGCGTGGTGCGGCAGAGGGCTGGTGCCGGAGTGTGCGGGCTCGAGGCGAGGCGCGCTATTTATCCGCCGCTACGAGGAAGAATTTACTTCAATATTATTATGGTATTTCCCCACAATACTGGTTTTTTATTACCACAATTTATATCGGACGATGTTTACATTCCTCTTGCAGTCTATTGTCGCGGTCGTGATGCATAAATTGCATTTTATCATTAATGATTGCACACTCAACAGTCGACATAACTCCATGGCGGCGTGGCTCGAGTGTCGAGTGCGAGGCCGGGCGAGACGGCCCGCTCTACCCGCTCTGCACGTCGTGATGCGGACGAGAGCGAGGGTGGAGGCGCGGCCGTGCTGCTGTCCGCGCTCCGCTCTCACGCGACCGCCGCTCTCTTTCAAAATACACTCTGTTCATAAAAAACATATTATTTACTATTCATTGAGCTACGGGCGTATAGTTTTTACAACTAGGTTTGTTTATTAGGTACGTGGTGTAGGCACACGCCGAGCTGAGCGCGGTCAAACGGAGGAAAGGAAATATATTGTAGGAACCTGACCGTGACAGCCCTTTTACTATATGTATATGTACACACATATATGTATTTGTATATTAGAAGTGGTTGTCTTGCGTCTACGTGCGAGTGTCTATACCTAGCTGCTGCTGGAGTCGCTGTCGGCACTGACCGCTGAGGGCAGCGCGCTCCTGCACTCGCGGCGGTAGGAGCGGGGGCGCGGTGCAGGTCGGCTCCTGTCCATTTCTGTCTGCTATGTATTCCTTCTTACTTACGTAACTTATGTTATGAAATACGCGCATGAATAGATTAAGAATATAGAATTATTTTGCAACTTGTATTTATTATCTCTCTCTGTTAACAAATTCTACAACGAAGCTGGACAAATAATTAAGAACGACTTATTAAACTGCTCTCGAGTTGTTTCATAACAAACATACATTACATAAATAACATTAATGTAAAGTACATGAAGAAAAATAAGGTAATTAAATATATTTTAATCTAAAATTAATAATTATTTATAGTAGCATTTCCACGACTTTTAATGGCTTCTCTACACCCGAAAAGACATTGACATTTAGAAAAAATGTTACATTTCCATTCCTCTGCGAAAACGTCGCACAGCTCTCCTACACACACAGGCACACAGTCGATTCGATACCTTTTCTTGACTTCGCACCAAAGATGATCTATTCAATTCAAATCTGAGCTCTGTATTGAGCTTTGTTTTAAGCTTGTAACTGGGCCAACCAATCTTAGACAGAAACTGATTGTGATGTGGGAAATTTGTATCCTTGGAATGTCCTTATCACCGGAAGCGCTTCTTCAACATAAGGAAATATATTTTAGAATATTTTTGTTTTGGAATTGATCCATGTTTCCTTTCATCAACTGAATGAGTCCAACATTAAAAAAGCCCAAAGTACCCCCAAATTTTCAGACTTTCACCAGCATGCTTTAATGTAACTTTTGTATACTTCGAGTCCAATGATTTACTGGAAGATCGTTGTATATATTATTATGTACATATTATCGTTTTCCATCAGAAAAAATGCAACCCTGGTACGATCGGTTTTTCTTTTTCAGGAACGTGTAGAGATAACGAATTGAGAATGACATCAAGATACACAAAGAGCTTCTTAAGCTAAGCAATAAAAAAATAAACCATAAAAACCTATGAGGCGCTCCCGTTCGATGTAGAGTCAGGAAACTTGCCAAAAGACAAGGTCTTAAAGGGCTAGGAAAGGAAAAGTCTGAAAATGGTATATTTGGGCTATAAACACAAACAAGAAGAAGTAGAAGCGTCTTAATGACTCCAGCTGCGGCCTGCTACTCACTAGCGAATCAATCCTTTTTTTTCAACTCGAACTGTTTGTTAATGCGTTGTGTGATGTGACAATCGAAGAGTTCAATGAAATTGACGGTATTATCGTCCTGGACAGTGTTGTGCTAAGCTTTGATTTCGAAATATGTACATTCATACATTGCAACTACGGCGGCGGCGCGGCGGCGGTGAGCCATGACGTTACTCACTCACAGGGAGTAGTGACTAAGCGGACGAACCGCTTCATTTCAATAATGCTCATTAAAAGTTGCGGAAATAACCAAATGGGGTAAGTACCGTCGGTAATAATCGTTGGTAACGCCTGAATGCAATGTGCATTGTGTTCTTATCACAAACCGAGTTCATTTAACCACGGTTACACCATAAACAAAGAATGTTAACATCACTACATAAATAGGTACATTATTTATTGGTTTAGATTTTATTGGTTTTGTTTTCACTGAATGAATTCGATACCGTTGTCCATCGATCCTGACCTGGAACGAACAGTTCTGAAGGATCGCAGATGGCTCACCTACATCCCTGACCGTGAATCGTTCTTCGCAGAATCTAAAACCGGATCGGAATCGCGACCCCATGAGGGGTCTCCGTATATCATTGAGGTCCGGAAAGAAGTAAGCCTTTACCGCCAGATACTGACGTCCCGCGTCATCCGTCACGTTTTACGCGATATGAATTCGTCAAGCCACTTCCGCTTAAGGCCCTTTTACTACTATAAAAAAAACAAGCTGTTGTTTTTTTTTCTACCTATGCTGATAGCCTTGAGAGGCTATATCAGCTTTACCTTAGCGTGTAGGTGAGCTCTCGAGGCTCAAACCGGAGGTGTTGCTAACACTGGCCCTACCAAGAGCAGTGCTTCGCAGAATCTACCACCGGATCAGAAACGCGACCTACTGAGAAGATCGGACGAGAAACTCAATGGGCTGTCTATGGGTTAAGTTACTCGTCGAGCCCTTCATCGCAAGCGACGCTTTCGGTGAGGACGGTGACCGGTGGTTGAGGTACGTAAAAGCACCGTTAGATCGGGAGAATCCGTAACGACGTGGCTGCTGTAAAGAGATCGGAGAAGTGAAATGTAGCTAGCAAGACTCCTACAGGTGCTAACGTGGCCAGCATCACATGAAATGATGAGGAGGAGTGGCGCCTCGAGGGTATAATGCGATTCGTCGGGACGATGCTACTCGCGACGGTCAAGAAGCGACCCGTGGATGCCGCACCGCCTCCTTTAAGGCGGTGTGCGTTCTCGGTGGGATGCCGCTGATTATGACTGTGTTGCGATGCGACCTCCGTAACAGCTCCTGATTTAGGTTTAGGTTTAGGTCTAGGTCTAAGTTAGGTTACGGGATCTTATTATTCTACATTTTCTCATTCATACCAGTTCTCGCATTTATGCCTCTCGCACTTTCAAGCTTCACATTCACATTCATCCATCACGTTTCTTTCTTATCCGGGAATTTACACCCGCCACTTTATACCACTTTTACCTATATTTTTTATTAATCGGGGGAATAAATTTTTCAGTGTTGTTATCTTTATTTCTATAAACGGTTTTATTATTTACACTATAACATTTTTTGGGATATCTTTACATCAATAATTACTTTATACAGTGTTCTCTTAAATTCTAGTATTTTGTATTTCTTATTCTATGCTTATTATCTATTCACATTTTTATTCTTATTGCTATACCTTAGCATACTTTGTTATTTCTATATTTTTTTCTGTATCTATATAACAACAAAATGTTTATCTGTGAACATTGTTTGCCAGTGGATATTGATGCATTTTTCTACAAAGGCTTGTAACCCATTTACACATATTTTCTTACTCACTTATTTTCTATCTTTCTTATTTATTAGCTATTTCATTTATGACAATAATATATAAATATTCATATTATATCTATATTTATTGACGTTTCTTTTACATTTTTCTATATTTTGTCTTGTTTTTAATTGTTTGTTGGGGCACGATTTTGGAGTCTGAGTGTGTGTTATTGATATATTTACTATATATTTAGTATATCTGTGTTTATTTATTTTTGTTATCCGGTTTCCGTCGCTTTATTCGTTTCACCATACATAGCGCTCCTGTTTTTTGTACTCCCGGTTTGTGTATGTGCATGTCGTGTTTGTGTGTGTTACGTACCCCTCTTGGAGTCAGTCATTGGTATGCTGTGTTAGCGCGGGCCAGATAGTCCCATTTCTGCCGAACTGGGCACTCTGCACTGAAGGCGTTGTGGTCTGTTCTCTGCAGCTTTGAGTGCGAGCAATTTGCAGCACTGCGGTTCGTTTCCCGCGATAAAGTCCGCGCATTTTTCGCGCAGATGCGGTCCGCCGCAGTGGCTGCATCTGTCCGCACTTTCAGTGAAAAAATTTCGGCCGTGACCGAAAGCTAAACATTACGTGCATTAGATGAGCGGGGACTGGTCTTCCACCCTGATCCACTGCAGGTCAAGATAAAGGCCTCCAGCTCCCGATTTCCTCTGCCATACTATAGGTCTGAACTGCACCACAACATGCGCTGTCTTAGGTTTCTTTGTCCTTTTCTTGTACTTTATTGTGATTTCTTTGTCTATTTTCTCAAGTCCTGTAAAGATATCATGGTTTTGCGAGTGCAGCGCATTGACCATCTCGTCGTCCTCGCTGTCCAAAAAGACGTATTTAAGGACGACGAGAGGGTTTTTGTTTTGCATTCGCGCTACAACTAGCCCTTCCCCTTTGCTTTAAATTCTAGTCTTACCTTTTTGTAGTTTGGCATCCGTGTCGCATTCTAGAATTACCGTCTGGTTTTTTACTTTCTCACTTTATAACGTGCCTGTGTCTAAGGGTGCCCCTGGTATGCCGATGTTACATGAGGCCCAGTCGCGNCTATTTTTTAATTTGTCCCTTTCCGCCTTGGTACCCAGGCCTATGATAACTTTTCTGTCTTTTGCCTTCCTAACGTTTTTTACCTCTATCCATCCCTCTTTTGCATCTACTGCCTTTCTTACTCTGTCGAGCACCTTTTCCCCAGTCTCACATTCGTCCTTTGAGGTGATCACGACGGAGTGCAGCGTTTGCCTCATTACTTCAGGCTTCTCATTTGTAGCAGCCGGCTGTATCGCGGCTACGCTGGCGTAGCTTGCTGCTGTCACCGCTGCTTTCTCCATTGCTTCCTTCAGGTCTCCCATTATTTTTTTACTCTCTTGCAAGAGCTTGGCGTGCTCCTCCATTTTGGCTACATAGGTATTCGCGTCCATTGGGTTTACCGT